AATCGTTATGACTCATTATCATTGGCCGAGCGCTGTGTGCAATATATTCTGATTTCTTTAGGCAGTATCAATCATTTTAATTTAATGACCTTATATCTTACAGATATTTCATTAATAATATTCGTGCGACGCTAAATTGCTCTATAGATTATCTTAATATGTATATAAACTTGAGTGTAATACGAGTGAATCAGGAATAGGGCATTGCAAATGCGTCTATCTGATTGGATTTAGATCGTTTCCTTGAAGCAATATGGAGTTGTGTGAGATATTGGACTCGTTGAAGTATTAATAATTAAAATCTCTTTCTTTTTCAACAAATATTTTGCAGGCTTATAATTTAGCAGGTTCATTATTTAGCAGTTTTCTATCCCTCCTTTAGCTTTCTATGAATTTATTTGACACGATGGTCTCCATAATGTTGCTGAAGTTAAAGCATTTTTACATTGTAAAATAAACTTGACTAAAATGTGACTTGTCAAACTGGCATTCGATAATAAATGTTTACATGTTGTACATACACAACATAATCTATATACAACAATGAAGAACTTTTAAGAAGAGTGGGCAAAGTTAGAGCTCTCATGAATACGAAAATTAAAAGAAAAGGAAACTAGATCGGACTCATTGAGCAAAAAGGCTGAAAGAATTGGAAAGAATAAGAAAGCAGATGATTGATGACTTACGCAAAAAGAGAAATACAGGCAACTGAAAGCCGAAGCACAGGACCAGGAAGCATGAATGCAAATATTAGAATGAAAAATGCATAAAAGTGTTTGAAAAATGAATAATGGTAATTAAATTGCAATGGTAATATAAACAAGGTCGAGAAAGGAAATCATTAGTTTATGGTGCTCTCACACCATGGACCTGTCTTCGGGCAGTCTAAAGCCGAAATGAGGTGACATGTTTGACAACAGCCATGAAAAAAATTAGACAAAAAATATATCATGCCGTTTAAAAATTGAGCTTTCAAGTAAAACTAGAGCTTTTATAGACACCTAGAAAACTCTAGTTATTTTCCGGTTATTATGGTTAATTTTGAATATTTTCGTTAATTTAATCTTTGGACCCATATACCTAAATATCATTTCTAGAACCACCCTTAAAAAAATGATACAATTGTCGCAAGTTTTCTAGAATTAATATTACTTGTTAAACTATGAATTTTAAATTTT